ACTTATGACTTATAAATTGAGGTGACTTATAAGTTGGGTTCGTTTGGCAAAATAAATTACTTTTTCACTTTTCGAATTATAAGTTGGTGATTTATTTGAAACCAAACAGGGCCTAAATCAGCGATAAGTAATATAAAACGGAGTGACTACTGTCTTATGTATGTACGGATAGGATGATGTGAAACTTCCCTAACTTTTTCTTTCAATCAGGCAAGCCCTTTTCCATTAATTTCTCCACGGAAAGAACATTGTATCTTACAGAATTACACAGCCTGAGAGAAAAATTGACTAAGGGTATCTTCAATGGCGACCCGTAAATTTCCTCCCATATACATTCGCGGACGGGGACCAAACTACGGACATGGATGCGGGAGGCCGCCATCCAACACTAACCGGTAACCGCATACATTACAAGCTCTTTTTCAACAAACTGGATAAATTCATGCAAACTCGATCGGGTTTCATATAAACATGACGGATTCTATACAAACCGAACGAAATGATTACATTTTGATCATATTTTCAACTTAAAACGAAACAAGAGTCTACAACCGGCGTTGGTGGATATCCATTCCGACGACATGATGGGGCACTCGGTACAACAGCCTTTTCATGTCTTCCTAGGAAGACATGATAGAAAACCCGTTGGAGCACTCGGTACAACAACCTTTTTTCCGAAAAGGAGGATGACCCCCGGTCTCTGTATCTGGGCGATGCATGCAATAATTTTATTAATTATTTATAAAGACATTACAAAGTAATACGACAGTAAATCTAAAGCCACCATCTTGGCAACATCTGTCGGTACTCCTATCCTTTTGTTGAAGGGGTGCCAAAAGTCCGAGCGAATACCAAACAGACCTTACACCAAAGCCTACCATCTAAAACCGGAGGCCCCAACCAAGCCATTTCCCGAGTCTGGGCACACACCGGTCCGGCGCACTGGCCGCCGCCGTCATCTTCCACCGATCCATCTTCAGAGCAGGTACTGGCGCATCGACGCCCCCACGGCGTCAGGCAACGCCTCCTCCCTACGCGCGTCCATCATCATGCATCTGTCGCTGAGACCTTGCAGCGCCACGCCACCAAGACTCCACGACGTCGATGCGTCACATGAAACGCCGCTCAACAATTGAAACCGTCCATTGGTCCCTCGAGACAATGCACACCTCCAAGGATCACGCCTTCAAGGGAGAACGACACAAGAGCGTCGCCGTCATCCGATCGTTTGATATAGGGTTTTCTCCGAAGGTAGCGGAGGGAGTCTCGAGCTTCAACTCGATGATGTCTTCAAGAAGTAGATGACATAGAAATTGCGGCCATCGTTGGCTTTACCACGGGGCGGAAACCTTATAACGCCAAAGTACAGATAATCTACAACACCATAGCAGAGTCCACACAAGGGCGGACACACCAAAAGTACAACAAGAAATCTTGAAAACTAAACAACCAGTTTACAACAAACCGTAAGCCAGACCTAAAATGAACCCACCAGGGGAACAACTTGAAGAGGAACCACAGAACTTCAAGAATCCACAATGCGAAGAACACCATATCGCGCGCCCTGGCGGGCAAACACTTTTGCAGTCTGCATCACCTTTTGAAGTAGAAAATGTTGTGTGCACGACGAAGTCTGCACCACAGCTGCACGAAGGCTAATCCAGCCGTTTGCTGCACTTTTTTGATTTGCATGGACGAGCTGATATGCTTTGTCAGGCAGAGATCGTCCGTTGTGCGTCGTGTGTATAGCAGCTCTCGTGCACCCTCCATAGCCTCATAAGCTTCAATCTTCAAAAGCCTTGCCCAAACATAAGGAAAGAACATGCAGCAAAAACAATCTCGAGTGGAGTTCTAACAACAGAGCATCAAAGGTTACTTTATTCCAGATAGTCCAAGGCCCCCAACATATGGCAGCAATACATAACATATAAAATTTCCCCGCCCAGGCAGAAAATGATATAGCCAAGAAAAAAGATGATTGGCATCAACTCCTTTATAAAAAGAGCAATTAGGATTCCTCGGCCACTGACGCATTTTCATATTAGTTAAGACAACATTTTGGAATGACCACCACATTTTTTTTATCATGAGAGGTATCGGATCCTCCCAAATCAACTTATTATTTGAGCCAGAGATGTTTCGCTCAAACTATATACACCCCCAAGGCCGACCCATGTGGGGGCTGGGCGTTCCTTTTTTTAAAAATATATCTTCTTTTCTGTTATTTTTACTTTGAGAATTGTTCATCAATCTTAAATTCAAAAAAGAACGTTCGGGATCTCAAAAAACTGTTCAAGGTTTTTTGAAATTTCAATAAATGTCCATGAAATCAAAATATTTTCATGAAATCAGAAAACGTACATGAATTTCAAAAAAATGTTCATCAACTCAAAATAATTTTCCAGATCCAAAAATGTTCACGAATTCAGAAAATGTACATGCATTTAAAAGAATGTGTGTGAATTAACAAAACTATATGTGAATTTCAAAATTGTTTATAATTCAAAAATGTTCATGAATTTATAAAATATTTGTTGATTCAAAAACATGTTCACGAATTCAGAAAATGTTCAGGAATTTGAAAATTGTTGCAAAAGTTGTTCACAAATTCAGAAAATATTCATGAATTTCAAAAAATGTTTGCAAATTATAAAAATGTTTACGAGATTAAAAAATAAAAAATGAAAATGAAAATGAAAGGATAAGGAGAAAAAGTAAAAAATAGTAAAAAGAGGAAAAGTAAAAAGAAAGTGAAAACAGAGAAAAAACGATTCGAAAAATTTCTAGAACCTTCCCAAAAGCGGTGGAAGAAAAAACCAGCAAGCAGCCTGCCCCGCCCTACTCCCCCAAGCCGAAGAAAAGCGGGCCAACCCAGAAAAGTGTGGATGAGCACGCGGTGGTTCACGGTAGGCCGCTAGATAACGATCTATTCGTGGATTAGGACCTGCGTGAAATCACCAATTAAGAAGTACTTTTTGCAAATGTTAACCTGGAAGTTTTTTATTCGTAGATTCATTTATTCAAAACATTTTATCTATTAAACCATGCGTCCAAATCTCGAACCATTTTCACCATTGGATTTCTTGCCTCGAAATCTTGAAAACTATCTCATGTTGATAGGTTTCGATGAAATTTTTTTTGACAAAAGAAACCGAATCAGGAGCAAGTTTTCTCCCTCTTCAAAAAGTTGTGTCTCGCGCAGAAACAAATCTATGTGCCTCTAGGAGAACCAAATTTGTGCCTCTCGCAGCAAAAAAAAAATCATGTTTTTTATTTCCAAGAGGCACAACGCTGAAGCAAATCCGTGCTTACACGAGAAGTAAATTTGTGTCTCTCGTGGAAGAAAAAAAAACTTTTTTTCTTTTCCGAGAGGAACGACTATGCCTCTCGCGAAAGCAAATTCGTGCCTCCATGAGAAGTAAATCTGTGCCTCTCATGGAAGAAAAAAAGAAAACATATTTTTTCCTTTTTCGAGAATCATAATTGTGCCTCTTGCGGAAGCAAATCCATACCTACACGAGAAGTAAATATGTGTCTCTCATGGAAGAAAAGAACACATTTTTTTTCCGAGAGGAACGACTGTGCCTCTCTCGTAAGCAAATTCGTGCCTCCACGAGAAGTAAATCCGTGCCTCTCATGGAAGAAAAAAAGAAAAGATATTTTTTTCTTTTTCCAAGAGGCACGACTATGCCTCTCGCGGAAACAAATTCATGCCTACACGAGAACTAAATCTGTATCTCATGAAAGAAAATAAAACACATTTTTTTCGTTTCCGAGAGGAACGACTGTGTGCCTCTCGCGGAAGCAAATTCATACCTCCATGAAAAGTAAATTTGTGTCTCTCATGGAAAAAAATACATATCTTTTCCTTTTTTTTGAAAGAAAAAATATGTATTTTTTCTCTCATGGAAAGAAAAAAACACATATTTTTTTTCTTTTTTTTACTTAAAAAAATATGTTTCACGACTGTGCCTCTCGCGAAAGCAAATTCATGCCTCCACGAGAAGTCAATTTGTCCCACTCGTGGAAGGAAGAAAAACGCGGTTTTCCCTTTTCGGAGAGGCATGACTGTGCCTTTCATGGAAGCAAATCTGTATCTCTCATTTTTTTTTAAACGCGTTTTAGTGCTCAAGAGTAACCCTTGCGGGGGCTCCTCAAGGAGTACTCCTTGATTAGTTGCTCCTGGAGCTGCGGGAAAAGAGCAAGCTTATCAGGATCAACCAGTAAGCTCATTAAGGCCCCTGGCATTATTCAGTCCGAGATGAAACTTCCCTAACTTATTCGGCCCAGCAAATAAACTGTGCCCACAAAAATAAACCCCCCATTTCAAGAGCCAAGCCCAACCCGCTTCAGATCTTCCGGAGTGTGCTAAAAAAGTCCTCCACAGAGCACACCCTGCTACAAAAAATCTCCACAGAGCACACGCTGGACTGCACACGTACGGCTAGCCAAGCGCGGCAGACAAACACAAGTTCGACGTGAGAATCATGCGCATCCCCGGTGTTTTTCCTTGCCAACATGGCAGGACATCCAACTCCGATGGCTCGAGACAGAGCAGGTCCAGGCACGGAGCCTTGCCAAACGCCAAGCCAAAATTATAGAGAGAAATTCCTATATTTCCTATCATCAGTAAAAGACATTTCTCCAAGCTGAGCACATCACATGCAAGTACAAGCACGCTACAACGACCAGTGGGCACATCACACACACACACACACACACACACAAATTCAGTGCTACGACTAGGCAGTCTGAACTCTGAACGAATGCTAATCTCAGTCCTGTATCCAAAATCTTCGAAACAACCATTCTTAATAGACTACATCTGTATGTCATATCTCTCTGGCCGACCAATATCCATTCTATATTTCTATTCCAACCTCCCATATCTGGTCTTTCTTCAGTGGAACTTTCTTTCTCCGTTGCCATCCATGTCACCTGTACCTCCTTTCTCGTTTAGTTTTCTCCTTTCAGGTTGCACGCACGCACGCACGCACGCTCTATAGCTGGCCAGACAGGCCTCGCCCGGGGTCATACCTCGACAGCAGCCGCCTCTGTCCAAACACCACAGAACAAGCACCAACAGATGGATGTCAATTGCCATTGTACATGGTAAGTTGGTAACTGAATCAGTTACCTTCAGTAGTGCAATTTTCAGAGAACGGATGGAGAGTTCAGAGAAGGGACACTCACGATGGGCTCAAACTGAGGCGCTGTCAGGTTGGTCTCGAGGTTCCTTAGCACCAGCAGGATCTGCACGGCGTGACAGATCTTTCTTAATCAGAATGGTTGTTCATATGAGGAGCAGAGCAGGGGAGACTGAATATTGCGAATGGTCATACTGAAGAAAAGTAACTGGAAGTAAAGCACTGACCGTCTTCACAGTGATCCCATCCATGTCCTTGAGTTTCTGCAGGTGGGCTTCGATGCGGCACGGCGTGGCCGGGTCGAATATGTCGCCGATGAACCGGTATACCCGCGCGAAATGCATGTCGTCTGCAAGAGCGGCACCAGGAAATGGAAATAGGATTCAGTTCAGAAAGAATAAACTTGGCCATTGTGAAGCAAAGAAGACTTGCTTACCAGGGGACAAGGGAAGTGGAATCGTCTCATCCTCTGCATCGGCGATCGCCGACGCTTCGCCTGTGCTGCCCGTGCCAGTCCAGTCCATGCCCGTATCGTCGAAGCTCGGCGCCCCCATGAATGAGCTGCCACCTAAGTAAATATGAAAGCGAAGTTATGATGATTATGGTGTTTTCGTTGCAACTCTGTGCGTGCGCGTGTAGAAATGGAAAAGGTTCAGAAGGATACCTGGATGTGTTGCTGCGGCTGGTTGAGTCTGGCTCCCTGCACCTCCATGGCTCACCCAGGCAGAGCTGCCTGAACTGCAAGCCCAGTCCAAGTTCTGCATGTCTGAACAACACACAGAGCACACCGCCATGTTAGATTAGTTAAGAAGCACAGTGATCAGAAAGTTCAGAACTCTGAGCCCAGAAAGCGGAGAACGGGAGGCAGAGTCACTTGCCATTGGACGCAGGAAGAACTCCCTGTCCCGGATAGGTCCAGCCGACGGGACCCTGAACAGCACCGGACGGACAATGTTGCGGCTGTCCGTGCAGCACTGCCGTCCCGTCGGCCGGCGAGATCTGCTGCTGCGACATGGCGAGCCTGCGGCTCGGGTGCTGTGGCGGCGGCAGCCCGGCGGCGAGGCCCAGCCTCTGGACCTTGAGGAAGTACTTCTGGGCGTGGCTGCGTATCTGCAGTGCACAATGTTCCATTTCATTTCACAGTCGAACCGTCAGAACGCAAGTGTAATTTGCAAGATGGACAGTGAACTTGGGGCTACCTGCACCGCGGTCTTGGTGCGGACGTGCTCCTCGATCTTCCTCCAGTCGCGGCCGAACCTGGAAAACCGCATGAAATGGCCAGCAGATTCAGCGGAGGATTCGGAGTTCCAGACTTACTAGCCTGTTCAGAAACGCAGAGGACAGTCAGTCACCTGAGCAGGGCGTCGAGGAAGCGCTCGTGCTCCTCGGGGCACCACCGCTCCCTGGGCCTGGTGATGGTGTAGGGCTTCCTCGCCTTCTTCCCCGGCGACGACGACGTTCCCTCGCCGCCTCCTCCCCTCTCCGCCATGATCCACCGGACCAACAAGCTAGCTAGCTAGGTCCCCTGTGCTGCTCGTCGCTCTCGATGCCCAAGCTAGCGCGACACCCGCTACGTCTATATATAGACTCCGCCACGCACGGACGCGGCCCCGCGTAAACCCATCTGTCCTCCGGGTGTTGGGAGCTGTGCTGCCATGATGAGAGGCGAGGCTGGGTCACTCGAACTCGCCAGAGAATTAGGCCGGCCGGCGAGGGAGCGCGTGCGTACAGTTGGCGCTTGCATGGATGTGGCGAGGCTGGCCGCTAGGCCGAGGCGGCCGCCCCGGGTTGGTGCAAGCCCCGTGCCGGCCGGACCGCGACGTGTGCTCCCTCGGCGGTGTGGCGGGGAGGAACATGAACGTGCGCGCGCCGGTGGCAGCGCGTACGGAGGCGCTCATCTCCCTCGGGTTCTTTCCGTTCCGGGGCGGCGAGTCGGCAGGCACATGCTAGGTTTTCGCCGCGCGCGCGGGGGGCAGGCGATCGACACGGTTCGGTGCGAAGTCCACGAGGCGATCGAAAGAGTTGATCCGGCGACGTGGCCTCTTCCTCGCCTTCCGTCCTCCCTCCTCCCTCATCGGCCGGGTCTAACAGAGCTCAGCCTAGCTTAGATGGTTAGATTTCTTGTACGTATATACTCCCTCCGTTTCAAATTATTTGTCGTGATTTCAGTTCAAATTACTGTACAAGCATATTTGATTGATTGTACCGCGTGAAAAAAGGATTGTGCTAAAGCATGTCTACATTGCGTCGTGTCTGGGTTTACCGTGCTGGTCGGACAAGCACGCGCTTATTCCTGCGGTGTCACGCCAAGCTCGATCGAGTCGGCGAAGATATACCTCGAGTCATTTCGACCGGTGCAACCAGGCCTTGTCTCTTCAACGCGTCCCTCGAGCCGCGGTAAATGTTTAGGTACGAGGGGTCCCATCATCATCCCCTGGATAAAGCTAGCTACGTGCCAGAAAGGGTTTTGTTTTTGGCGCCAAGCCGAGGCAGAGAGGTGATAGAGCTGATGAACTGGTACACACGTACTTGCGTTTACGTGACATGTCATGATCAGAGTATCCCGGGATGGAACAGCACGTCTTACACGTTGTCGATCGAGTTTGGCCGGCAAATCAATATAGCTCATGTGTTCGTCGTGACGGCCGTGCGGCGAGCCGGGGTTTAGGGCACGTGCACGTTTCTGTTGAGCACGTACGTTTGGGTAAGGAATGGTTTGAGCAGGATTAGTATCGCTCGCATCACGCACATGTTTCTGCTGCTGTATAGAGTGTACGCCAAATGGCAGCAAGATATGCATGCATGCAATGCAAACAAGAACGGAGGATTGTTAAGTCATTGTGAGTTTTAAGTTTTTTAGGCCTCATGGTGACTCGTGCGCTTTGGCGCTGACGACGGTTTGACGCCTGCGGGCGCATCTTCGTGTCTGGGGTTTCGGTGAAGATCTTTGCTCGTTGTGGACTCCGCAGCGGCGGCACTATGCGATGTTCTCCCTCCTGAGAGCATTGTTCTCCCTACTAGAAATATTATGTCACCGGCGCACTTTAAGTTAACAAGTTAGAGCATCTTCAACGGCTGTGCCAAAAGACGCGCGCGCGGTAAATTGGGACTTTAGCGTACGCGGGATGTTTTCGCGCACTCCAACGGTGACGGAAAACTAGCGCGCGCGAAAAAAGGCGGCAGCTCTCGCGCTATTTTTGGCGCACCGCTTCCGGCGCGCCTTTAAATTGCGGCGCTCGCCACACGGCTATTCCACACCCCCTCTTCCTCTTCCGCTGCCACACGCGCCTCCCCCGCTTACTCGTTGCTTCCTCGCCGCTCCAGCGCCCCGCCACCGACGCGCTACCATGCCGCCGCGCCACCGAAGAGCGTCGGGCTACCGCGGCGTCCGTCAGTACCCCAACGGCTCGTACTACGCCGAGATCCGGTCCGACGATGTCCGGCTCGGCCTCGGCACCTTCCAGACTGCGCACGAGGCCGCCCGCGCGTACGACGCGGTGGCGTGGCGCCTAGACAGGCCGCTCGCGCAGATGAACCTTCAGGACGTCCACACGCGCCAGCAGGCGCAGGACGTAGCCCCTCCGCCTCGTCTTATCACGGACCAGGACCGTGCGGAGCACGCTCGGCGGTAGCGCCGCCTCCTCATCGCCGAGGAGGACGATCGGGCCATGGCGGAGTGGCCGCGGCGCCACCCGGAGGACGCCACCGACGAGCAAGCCTACTGGGCGAAGTAGACGGCAAAGCGCCGCGAGGAACGGTTGGACAGGCGTCGGCGGAAGGCCCTGGCGTTATCGCAGTGCGATATCGTTAAAAATGGTGGATAGTCGATCTTTACGGATAATGATCCTCGTTAGGACGACATGTGGCTCGATACCTCGGACCAGACGAGCGAGGATGACGATGATGACGACTGGGAGTAGGTTGTAGTTGCATTGCACTATCTAGTAGTTTTTTTTATGTCGTTGGACCGTAGTTTTATCTATCTATGCTGTGAAACTATGTAAAATATCTATGTATCCTTTTTTATCTATGAATTTTTATTTAGTATCGTTTTTATGTTGGCCATGTATTAAAAAATATTAATCTTGCATTTAAAAAAAGTATCAGGCATTTGGAAAATGTTAAATGAGTATAGAAAAAATGTGCCCATGTATTAGAAAAATGTTAATCAAGTACTTGAAAATGTTAAAATGTGTATAATTTTTTTGAACACATATTAAAAAAATGTTAATCCACTATTTGAAAAATACATACTAATCAAGCATTTGGAACATGTTAAAAATGTGTATATAAAAAAGTGGACCCTGTATTTAAAAATTGGTAAACATGTATTTAAAAAATATTGAACATATATTAGAAATACATTCTCGACGTATGCCAAAAATAGAATGAAAACCAAAAGAGACAAAGGAGAACACAAAAACCATAGAAAATCAAAAAAGAAACGAAGAAAACCAAAGAAAAAAGAAAAACAGAAGTAACAAGTGCAAAGGAAAGGAAAAAGGTGAGTACCCATAAAGAAAGAAAGGAAAACAAAAGAACTTTTGAAAAGCAAGAAAGAAAGAAAACTGAAGAAAAATGAGAAAGAAACAAAAAACTGAAATAACCATGAAGGAAACAAAGAAAACTCAAAGAAAAAAACCAAAAAAATGAAGTACAATAACGAAACAAAGAAATCAAAAGAAAACTGGACAAGAAGTAAGAAAACCAAACAAGAAACAAAAGAAAACAGGGCAAACACATCAGCAAACAGACGCGTGCGCCAGGAAAGCTTTAGGCGAGACGATGGCTAGTCTCGTCACAAGACATAATAGCATTCGCACATACCCCCTCCAGCGAACACACTTTAGAAAGGCTGGCCTATGTAAACGTTCATTTCAACTGGTTTTGTGAAGTTTCTAGATTTTTTTTAAGACAATCCCACGAAGCTTTATTAAGACGTCATAATGTTTACATGAACGAAAAAAAGATTTTCGGGGTGCCCTAACCAAACATGGCGGTCCACCCCTAACTTCAGAGCGTGCTTCGCGAGATTGTGAGCCTCGAAATTCGAGCTCCTAAACTCATGGACAAAATTACAAATAGTAAAAGACCTACTAGACTCTATTATTTCATCTATTATCGCACCATAGCTTGCCAAACACTGTTGCTTGATGTCGTCCACCACCACCTTGCAATCAGAAGCAACATGTATTTTTTGTTCATGAAAATCTTGAGCTAGAGCCAGAGCCTCTCGAACTGCCATCGCCTCCAGTGTCGCGGGATCACCAATTCCGCTGAAACCGATTGCCGAGGCCCCCCAAAAGAGACTGTTCTGATCTCGGCAAACTGCAGCTACAACACCCCTTCCCTGATTACCTCTTTTCGCCGCATCAACATTAATTTTTGCTAGACTCGCCGGAGGGCGAAGCCACTGTGTTGGCCTAGAAGTAGGTTGGACAGTTGCCGCCCTTCCCGATTGTCGGTGTCAAAACCGGCGGATCTCGGGTACGGGGTCCCGAACTGTGCGTCTAAGGCGGATGGTAACAGGAGGCAGGGGACACGATGTTTTACCCAGGTTCGGGCCCTCTTGATAGAGGTAAAACCCTACGTCCTGCTTGATTAATATTGATGATATGGGTAGTACAAGAGTAGATCTACCACGAGAGCGGAGAGGCTAAACCCTAGAAGCTAGCCTATGGTATGATTGTATCTATCTGATCTATCGACTAGCCTGGCCTCGGTTTATATAATGCACCAAAGGCCTAGGATAACAAGAGTCCTAGCCGAATACGCCGATGGGGAGGAGTCCTTGTCTTGATCACCGAGTCTTATAGAATCTTCCATGTATGCGGCAGCTGTCCGAACTGGCCCATGAGTATACGGCCATGGGGGTCCTCGGCCCAATCTAACAGATCGGGAGATGACGTGGTGAGTACCTCCTAGTCCAGGACACCGTCAGTAGCCACCTGAACCGGTCTTCAAGTTAGGGACGCTCTTCGATTCTTCCGAACTATTCTTCATCTTCGGTCGTCGGTCTTGAAAACTGGTTCAACAAATCTTCTCATCTTCGATCTTTAGGATCGCCGAAATGCATTCAACGAGTTTATACGTCGGGTATCCGAGGAGCCCCTGTCAGTTTCCGGCCTTTATCAATGCCTTGTTATTTTTATGCCACACCTCAGGTTTGAAATTGTTCCCGGGCGGCAGCGTCCTCTTGCGTCCGAGCTCCAACGCCGGACTGCATTCGAGGTATCTTTTGCAGCCAAGCACCAACACCGGACCGCTTCCGAGCTCTAACGCCGGAATGTATCCGAGCTCCAACGCCGGACTATGTATCCAAGCTCCAACGCCGGACTGTATCCGAGCTCCAACGCTGGACTGTATCCGAGGTGTTGTAAATCACCTTGGTTCAAAGAAGTTTGAAGGAGTTTAGCCGAGCTTAATGCCGGAAATGCCCTCTATGGAGCCAGCCACTAGCGCCCGAGCTTTATGCCGGACTGCTTCCAA